CATCAAGACGATTTACGTCAAAATGCGTCTTTTGTTCAAAGTTATATGACTTTTGTCCATTTTAAAAACTCTTAGTTCATTATTCTTGTAAAAAATTCACTCACCTCGGTAAATCGGTTATGTCCATTTTGTTCAATAATCGTCGATGTATCAATTGTACAATCTTTTGTAATAATTTATAAAATTGGAGGATGATGGTTGGATTGGCTTCTTTGAAGAAAAAAAAACGGCACACAGCTGCCTTCCTTAGTTTCTATTCTAGACTTATCGTAACAGAATAAACTTTCCTATTTTTTCCTATTCTGTCTTTTTTTTGTTTAACCAAAATTAGAAGAAGTCATCAACATTATAGAGATGTTTGTATCGATCTTTATTAATATAGATGCTTTTCTCTCCGAAAAACATATAAAATAAAAAATATGTTATATTATGCCGAGAAAATCGATGTATCTACAGGATGTGATTCGACTCATTTTCTCTATGTTCCAGGCATGTTTCTATCATCATCATTATTATGAAGATTTTGATCGCTAATCAATTTTTAGTTTGTGACAACCATATATCACTAACAAGTTCTTCTTGCTCAATCAATAAACAATAAGCGTTTCAAGAATATCAGGGCTATTAACACTATTTAGAAAGATGGATGAGAAGATGACAAATCAGATAATCATTATGCGCATCTAAAATAAAACAGAGATTTTCATGTTATACTTTTTAAACTGGAGATTTCATTTGATATGATACATAAAATAAGAGAATGACAGTTGACATTTTAACGATGCTATTATTTGCTTCTACACCTATAAAATAGTATTTATATCTAAATAAATACTATGTCATCTGTTTTTTGGATAATTACAGATAACAGCCTGATCTTCATTGAAAATAACTCATTTTCCTTCAAATCTTTCAGCGCGTTCATCTATAAGATGACGTAATTGTGGTCAAGAAATAAAATTTATGTAATATTTTTATATTTATTAATGATAATGATACTCATCAAGTACCAGTCCGTCGTTACCAGATGACTATAACTCTCCCATTTGGAGTAATTTTTATTTTTATTAACTCATTTAGTCAAGTCCATGGTTGTTACAAGAGGGCAGAGAAAAAATTTTGACGTACAAATAAAGGAAAACAAGAAATACCGATCACTGAGAGAAAGATGTACACAAAGAGATAAACATATAAAAAAAGATAATGTTTAATATACGAATAAATAAATAAATAAATAAAAACAGCTTTTTTTACCATACTTTTTCTTGCAACAAAATCTATGTTAATATTGGTCGATTTATAATTGTCTCGTGATCTCTTGAACTTTGGAGAATTAATCAATTTTCACATTCGAAATAGTAACAACTTCAAACATTAGAAATATTACTTACCTCTGATGACGTTTTTTTAACTGTTATTTGCATCGTTTATGTGGCGAAATAAAAACTATTCCATCACTGAAATTTATATTGAGCAATTTCGACTCTAATCTTTCCTGCCTATGTTCAAAATGTAATTTCGCCAATAATGATGATAATACTGATTTATCATTTTTCGAATATTTTTCAAATTTCCTTAAGATATAAGATGGGACGGCAAGTTTATACTTACACTCGTTCGACAAGGGATACTTTCCGTTAGAATTTGATTGATAGATTAAATTCTCTGAAAGAGAGTATATGATTAGGTCATATTTCATAACTCACAACACTAACGTATAGGTCATGTGAATTCGATTCCCGATCAAAGCATATATTCTCTTTTATGCTGTTTGTCTATCATAATCGTTTTCTCAGTAGCAGAAAAGTATGTATATTTCAATGTCATACGAAGTCTTGTTTCTCTTTTCATAAGATATATACTTGTCATTCTAGGCCTTAGTGTCGACAAAAAATCTAATGAAGAATTTGTACTCTTTTTCCACTGACATTTCTTGTTCTTTATTTTTTCAAAAGTTTTGAAATAAGAAGAATATTACTTGATACAATTTCCAGAATGTCACAGAAAATAGACCATTTGCTTTAATTAAAAATACTATCAACTTTGGACGAAATTGATCAATGACTACTTGAGCCAAAATCATTCTTCCTATCATTATCAAAATTAACCAACATAAAATTAATTTTTCTGTTAGTTCATTTAACAAATTGCCAAATGTACTTCAGTTTATTTTCATCTATTCATTTCTTCTTTATCATCTTATAAACTCTCGTTTTTAAGCCAAGACCTTTGGCGTTGTTTACATTCGTCTACAACAACTTCGAGAGACATATAGAAAGAATGAATTGTTCACTCAACTGGAACGATGTACTATCTATTGATGTTATTCATCAATTCACCCCTCACTAAACATACACAATATCATACAAATGATAATGACACATGCGTTCAGTAAATTAGTGATCTCTCCCTTTCTCTATTTCAATCATACGCATTACATACAATTTTAAAAAAGTGATATTTTCTTTCCGATCAGTATGACTGATAACGTAAAAATACCATAAACTAAAAAAAGCTAAAAATAAATCATAAAGAAACAGTGGGAATAAGATAGAGAAATGATAAAAGTAAAAGAGAAAGTGTAGTTGACCCCAGATGAGAGAAGAGAAAGGGTAGTAAATATCTCCGAAAGGTGTCTTTATATAGTCCGTAACTACACACGCATTTTTCTAATTTAAAATATTTGTATTGGTGTATTATATATGGAGAACATTAAAACAAAAAAGAAAAGAAAAGATAATGAATACAATACGAGATCAAATTTGTACATATATGGCGGTTCTTCTTTCTTTTTTCTCTCTCTTATAGTTTCTTCTTTTTTTTTGAAAAGATTGAAGAGTTGAAAATAGTATTGCAAAACGTAAGAAGAAATTAAATTCTTATTTTACGAAAACAGTGGCACAAAGTTTTATCGGTTAATATAAAAGTAAGAAATTAGAAATAAATCAAACCAATAGAACAGTTTAGCTCGAGAAACGGAGGTATAGTACAGCAGAGCACAAGAAATAATTCAGATTCGATTTTTCTACTTAAAGTCTTACTCAAAACTGAAAAACTTTACTAGTTTCTAGTATATTTTGTTCACTGGGGATAACTACTCTTCATTTAAAACTATAGTGTCCGCGACTATTCTTTGAATAACTATTGAACGAAAGAAGCTCAAAATTTGCAGCTTTCAGTTTTTGAAAGTAGACGTCGAGGAACGAAAGATTATGGAAAAATCTACCTAAAGAGCATTTTAGAAGCCTAAGAACAAAAAGATATTATTGAACGCTCATAAGTGAGTTGGAACTATCAAACTATGCTCTATCGATCTACGCAAGTTCCAAATCACTAGCTTTCACCGTTTGACTAGCGGAACAGTTTTTATGGGACCTGCCTAACTCGTTATCTTCAAGTCGGCGAACCTTGAAAATAGTTGGAAATATATGTTATCGAACACGCTGATCTCGTGGGAATGTCAGTTTTCAAAACAAATTTCGAGAACCTATATTAAGCAAAATAACCTTCTTTGACCATTTTCATGCAAAAAACACATAACTTAGTCAAAATCGATCTAAACTACTTCATAGTATCAGAATATATTATAAAGGTTGTCCAGCAATCTTCGGAAGCAAGAGCGTATTTTTTATTAATTCTAAGCACAGGATCAGGTAGAGCGGATAGAATAGAGTATATCTTGATATTCTGAAGCAGTTTAGATCGATTTTGACTGAGTTATGCATTTTTTTGTTACTGGCATGAAACTAGCCAAAGATGGTTATTTCGGTTCTTGATGATAGAGAGTTAAGCAGGTCCCAGAAAACTGCTTCTCTGGTCGATCGGTGAAAGCTAGTGATCTGGAACTTGCGTAGTTCGATAGAGCATAGTTTGATGGTTCAAACCCACTTACGAGTGTCTAATAATATCTTTTTGTTCTTGGGCTTCTAATCTACTCTTTGGAAGATTGATGAGATACACTACAGAGTTTCATTAAGAAAACTTTCATTAATATGAAGTTCATCAAATTTTTTTATGAAGCTCCCGGTCACAGTCACTTTGCAGAAGGCATTTTAGCGAAAGTCCGGTGAACAGAATATAAGTTAAAGAACCGATAATAGGTGTATTTAAGCTGAAAAACATATCTTACCTTTTGCTAAGCGATATATATATATATATTAGGTGAAATTCTTGTGCCATCAAAATCATTTTAAAGTCCTACTAAAATTTTTTTAATGAAAGTTCGATGCTTTCATTAAAAGACTGAAAGTCTTTAATGAAAGTTGTTTTAATGAAAGTCATCCAATTCACTCCACATGCAGGTGGTATTTTTAGGTAGATATTCCATAGACTTACATCTCCCGGTGTCTACTTTCAAAAACTGAAAACTAAATTTTTAGCTCTTTTCGTTCAATAGTTATTCAACGAACAGTCGCGGACACTGTAGCTTTAAATGGACAGTAGTTACTAGTGACGTATTTTTTAAGAAGCTTCATATCATATAAACCAAACTGTGTTCAAATATTTGAATAAAATTCAAGGACAGTAGATAAGTGGTGTACATCGTGCAAGAAAATATGGTTTATCTCTATTCGAAACACTATAAGGATTTCAACTGTGTAAGTATCTCAGGAATTGTAAAGTCGAGAAAATGGGATAAAAATAAACACAGCAATGACCTCAATCGTCCGAAAGATTAACAGAAATAATAATACCAGTGAAAAACTTCTTTCCTTTACCTTTTATCTATCTTAAAAATCCTTTGAATTTTAAATATAAAGTATAATACTTCTCTATTAATAGCAGTATTATACTTTATATTTAAAACTTTATATCCAACTTTATTCCAACCAACATTCAAATAATCCTTTGAATATTTTCAAGAAAACATGATAAAAATGACGTCTACTTGTTACAAATCAAAATCAGTTCATTGTATCTGCCTTTCTCAAGTAATTATTCTACTGGTTCATCTGCATCAAAACATTCTGGCTCTTTTAGTTGTAATCAGTTTTACGGTGATGAGTCAGACTGATGTGAGATATCCACCGAATCCTACGGGATCGTCGTCGCCCGTTGTTTCACCTCAATATGGATCTTCGATCCCTAATCCACCAGTTGATGATGGCCCAGTACGAAGCAAAATGTCTTTAAATCCATCATGGTTTAAGACAATTCATGGAATCCTTACCGTAGTCACAATTGTAAGTTTATTTTTAAAAATCTGATAAACGAGCATTATGTATGATTGTTATTTTGCTTTCTGTCTTTAGATTGCACTTACATGTGTAATTATCAGTGCTGGTGTAGCAAAACGACAAGATTGCTCTGCAGTCGATACTTATGCACATAACGCCAAACTTAATACTACGAGTGTGAGCGCTGTTCACACAAGAAACGCTGTATTAACGTTTGCCATCATTGGCTTGATTCTGGCACTTGCCGATTTAATCGTTCGCCTTTTCAGTTTAAATACAATGTATCCGTCACGTATCGAACTAATAGTAATCTATGAGACTCAAAACTAGAGAGATTAATACGTTTTAATGCTTTTCTTATTTTAGTTCAGTATCATTATGTTAGTTTTGGCCGGAATATTTTTAATATTAGGGTAAGGTGAAAATAAATTCAACAATGTTCATTTTTTGATTTTGCATTGTCTTACTTATTCTAAGATGTTGTGCTGCCGCATGGGAAAAGAAAATGAGTGATACTAATCATCATGGGTTAATTATTCATCATAAAGGAACAGGAGCAGCAGCAGCGGTAAGTTTTTTTTATTTTAACTTAAAAAGTTACAAAACGTTGTTCAGTATTTTGTTTTAGTTTTTTTTATTTGTTGCCATGATTACTATTATTATTGATCACATATCCCGAATAGTCACACCACAAGAGCCTTCAAAATAAAATATGCTAATATGAATGTTTTTAATAAAAAAAAGTGTTCAATTTCAAATAAAACATTTTCTTCAATTTTCGTATTATGTGTAATAATAATGCTATAGCATATAATAAATTAGTCCTGGAAACATATATTCTCGACAAAAACAATATATCATGCGATTCATGCAAAAACAACATCTAGTCTTATTTCTCACATCTATATTTTCATTATTATTATTACAAACGGGAAATAAACACTGAAGCATAATTGAAAATGTTTTTTTTTTTTGTATAATTTTTATTCTCATGTTTCTTTTTTTTAGTAATAATTGTGTTCTGTTTTGTTTTTGTTTTATAAAAATTATTAATATAGTTGTTACAATAATGATACTCATTATAATCAGCGTCAAAATATCGATAATAACTGAACTCTCTTAGCGTGCGAACAAAATAAAAGCATCAACTGTGAAACCTTTTAGATTCAATGACTGATTTTTCTTAATAGATGTAAATTTAACTCACTCCTACGAACGTTTGTTTTGAAATGTACCATCGAATCCATACGCAAAAAGTTTCAGTTTTTTAATCGTTCAATCGATAGAATTTAATAATTCATAACTTTCGATGTATAATAAACCGCTAATCAAAAAAACGAGCCAGTCTTTTCTTTTTGAGGCACTCAGATGATGTTTGAAGATTCTGCTTCACACTCAAAAGATAGAGAATGTTTTGATCTATAAAGTCCTCGGTATCCAATATTTACATGTCATTATTTGCAGAAATAATGCACACGTGTAAGAAGCATAACTGGGACGGATGAAACTGGTTGTTTTTCAAAATGAAGAAGCATTTTTTTCTCTGTTTTCGGCCTATAGGATGTCTCCAGCATTCCATACCATATCCAAAAATAGAGAATTTTCTGCTTTAAAAAATCCAGTATGCTGTTTGCTTGCCTTATATTCTTTGATTAGATTTTTACTGCTTTTTTTTCAAATTTGACGACGTTTTACACATCTAACTTTTTCTATGTACTAAAACTTTTCTAATTTTCATATTATACTAGCGGTCTAATAGAGCTGCTGAACATTTCTTTGTCTGCTCTCTTCCCTCAGTTTCCATATTACTTCAAAAAATGAGTACGGAAAAGCTAAAATGTCTCTTTAGTTTCGACTAATCGTTATAGTTACGGTTCTTACCCGTCCTCAACGGAAACTTCAAACATTATTTCAATGCCTAAAAAATAGAATACAAACTGGCTCATCCTTTATAAATCATCTGCTGAATAGCACGTAATTTGATGATAATTTATGATATTTCTTCAAATTAATGTAATATTTTCCAAAATTCATTGATTCATGTAATTCTTAACGTTTATCATTCTCGATGTATTAAATCCAATATGACATAGAGTATCTAATTCACCTTCTGTGGCAACAGCATCATATTCATAATATGCCATTATTTAAATTAATCCTCTATGATTTTTACACAATTTGTCTTCGTCAGCCACAGATCGCTCAAATTCGTTTAGGCTGTTTTTTCGTCGGACGAATAATTACCATTTGTAATATACTACAAGATAACATAAACATTGTTCGATGACATCGTTTTTTGTCTGTAAACAACAGTATTTTCATCAAAACAAAATGAACGCTACTTGTTCGTTTGATGTTACCCTAAGAGATTCTTTTAGCGTACAAGATGTAAATTAAGTTTACAGAATCCACTAAGACATTTGGAGATTGTTTTTTCAATTTCTCTTAAATCGCTCTGGAATTGAATTGTTCATGTTTTTATTTACCAGATAATAGTTTGCGTAGAATAGACTTGGCATACCATAATTCAATTATCCCAGAACAATGCTTCATTATAGATGATGATTTAAATTGATAATGCATTAGAGTGTTCGTTTTCTTAGTTCTCAATAAGTCCTATACATAATGTTTTCAAAAGATCGAATTCGTAATGAATGATGAACTTTCTAGCTGGTTCTATTCATATGCACCAAACTCATTAGCTTTGAATACTGGGGAATTTTATTAAAAAAATTAGTTTCTAGTGAACCTACGTTATTTGTATGTCAAACTACCAAAATGCAATGAGATAATCTATATCAAGTCTTTTCTTCTTGTTCAAGTTCATCGTCTCCTTCTAAACTAGGCTGTTGTTTAGTTGTGAGTAAATGATCATTAGGTAGTTTATCGGTGTTCGATGTTGATACTGTTTTTATGCGATAATCATGTTCATCATCCGTTTCTAATTCATGATATTGCCATTGTGGTCCACAAAATGAGAGAAATACAGGCAAAAAGCATAGTGCATGCACAGTACCCAAACACATAATAACAAAAATAGTTTTAAAAAATGTTCGAAATAAATATGACTGAGCAAATGCCAAAAAGAAAACACCAACAATTGTCGATGAAGATGCACAAAATATGGGAACACCCATATGAGATATGGCTGCAATTGCTCGTTGATTTCGTGTACCTTTTGATGTAAGAAATGCATAAACAATATGAACACAAAAATCGGCACAAAATCCAATTGACATAATTAATTCTACCATTGTTACTGACGATATTGTCATATTCCAGTAGTGTAATATAGCAATTAATCCTGTTAACATCATTATCATTGTTGATATAATACATATAACAGATTGCAAATCAGGAATGAATAAGAGTGTAACGATATACATCGCTTCAACAGCAATAATAAATGACTGAACAATATTTGGAAATACCTCATACATTTGTTCATAAAATTTGAATAAATTTGAATAAACAATAATAGGTAATTGTGATTGTTTTACTAGTGATCGTAATTCATTTACTAATTGTCCATCCGATGAATTATAACAAACACGTCCAAATTGTAAATAAAATCGACTAGCCACAATGTGTGTATGATTCATGACAATATCATTTTGAAATATTGGTAATAAATTTGTAAAACCACGTACTGTCTCAATATATGATGTCTGATTTTTATGAATATCATTTGAGTTTATATTCATTAATTTTAACCATGATATTTCTAATTGTTTATCCATACCATTTAATTTTTTTGCTTGATCAATTAACATTTCAATACGTTTTATATAATCATTTCTCCAATAAGGAATTGGTTTATAAATAATAAATTGAACTAATGGATAGAGACGAAATTCTTTATCAATAGTATCAAGATAGGTTTTTGCATAAGATTTATCCGCTAATAATTGACCTAATTTCATACCATTTTTCATTTGAGATGCTCCATAGAATGTAGCAACGATATAAACAATATACACCACTAGTACAATAGTACGTCCAACAGGTGAAAAGAAAGATTTTACTATACGCATTAACATGTCCTTTATTGGCAGACAATTTCGAGGTTTTATTGAACGACGGTGTTTGTTATGTGGTGGTTGTTTTTCTTCAAGTGAATGAGGAGAATTTTTCAAACAAAATAGCAGTGTATTACAATTGGCATTGATACATCTATTATATAATGCAACACCACTACCAAATAACATTATTTGATACAAATAACAGAAGGCGATTGAAAAACCTAGAAAAATATTATATCTGAAATACTTGTCATGATATGATATGATAAATTACTTGTATATATGCAAAATATTCTTATTCCAAGAAAATTTGTCGCAGTACCGATTAAAAATGCGAGAATATCTGTTAGAGATGTGATTGTGATACTCGCTCCACATGCCCGAAATGTTCTAGCTAAACGTTTTGGTGTCGTTTCACGACAATTTGATTGACAAAACGCTGAATAAATTATAAACATATCATCAATGCCAACACCTAAATAAATAAAATGATTTTTTCAGATTAGAATATATTGAAAGACAAAATATCCCTGACAGTAGTTTGATTATACAATTCTTCCGTTATGTAAATAGTACTTTAAAATGCTAAGAGTATGTTAAAAAATATAAACCATATCTAACCAATTGTCAAAAATGGCGTGATAAACACAAGATTACACATTGGTATACCAATTAGAGAACAGAAACCAAAACCTGATATTAACCCAAGGCAAGTTGCTAATACACCCACTCCTCCTAGGAACGCCGGAGATGTTGACAATGGACCACGCCATGATAATAAAATTGTTGCAAAAATAATCATCAATACAAATGTTCCTGTCACCAGTTTTGTATCCAATATTATATTACTATTGAGTTCTTGATCAATCGATGTTGATACAGAATATATACATTGAACAATTGTCGATTTGAAATGATGGAAAAATTCTAGAAATGCTTGTTCCCATAAACGTCCAATTAATATCTCGTCGTCCGTTCCCTGTCTAATATTGAAACGGAATCTTAAAACATTTGAATACATAGTATCTGTTTCATTTGAAATTATCAGATTATGACCGAATATAACGGATAACATATGAGGTACACCATCATCATCAATATAGAGACCATTGTTAATGTACGAGTAAATCGATTTATCGCTGATACGTTGCCAAAATGTTTTCTGCAAATAGATATCACCATCAACGACACATGTTTGACTTCGTTTTGCACAAATATGACTATAATTTAATGTAAGATTATTATAGGTAATATTCACATTTTGTACTAATTCATGTATGCGATAAATTTCTTCTTGAACAACTTGACGCGCAATCATACTTTGATCATAGACACGAAACAAGACATCACCAAATATACCAAAATCAATGTCTTGATGAGAATAATAAGAGTCAAGATAATTAATTGGTAACAAATCTTTTATTTTTAAATGATCACGTATCGCTTGACTGTCAATCGGTATAAACAATTTGTTTGTATCAGTAATCATTTTTGAACGAATAAAACCACAACTACATAGTCCAGTGAGAATAAATGAACAAATAATAAAGAGATATGGATTTTTGCCGATTGTTGTGCCGATAGATTCAAATATAGAACTATGAAAGGTATTGACTTTCAGAAATAAAAATTCAAACAGATTCTTCCTGAAAAAAGTAAGTAAGAAGTCGTTATCACTAATATAATCAATTTTTTTGTTCGTAAACTTTTCATTTATTGTCCATCCAAAAAAAGAATGGTATATGACTGTTTTTTTTTTGAATAACTTTCGATAGGAAAAAGCCAAAGAGCTTCAATTTTCACCATTCAAAAGAGGAGACTTGGGGACATGTTTTCATAACCAAAAATTTTCCCAGAAGAGCTTTCTGGAACAGGTTTTCCAGGGGATTTTTGGAAAATTAGCTCGCGTGTAAAAATTTTGCAATAGGATTATATTGATTTGTTTTCACAGACTGATAGCCCAGGGTGTCCTTTTCAAATTGAGAGTCAAGTGAGACCTTGATTTTCCACGCTTCGGGCGTTGTATCGGATTTCCTACGAATCCCACGACTGGCACCCCGTGACGACTGGTAGCCTTCAAGACGCATGAACTATGCGTAATCGACCACGCTGCGTCTCGTGGCAATATTTGTTTTTAGAAAAGTTTTAAAATTCTACAGAAAAGCGGGTTTTACGAAAATTTGTGTTTTCAGGCTGTTTTCACCTAATATTAAAAAATTCGCTAATCACTCAGTAAACATCAGAACGACTTCAAGATTTCAGAATGTGGAGTATTTAAGCTATTCTTTATCCTG